GGGGGGGGGGGCTGATGGGAGGGGGAATGACCGGATGATTTTGGAAAAATTGAACATGGGAGATTTGACGAGGGGGTGAGTAATGCTGGGTTAATTCGGGTCTGAAGGCTTGCCAGTTGATTTTTTCTTCCTCGTAAAATTTCTAATAATGAAAATTGGGGGAGGGAAGGGGTTGCACCTGTCTGAGGAATTTCAGAAATGACGGGTTTTACGTCGACTGCGTGATAATTCAGTAGCGAAGTGGTAAAACGGTTTAACTCGATCTTGACTATTGACCAGTTTTTAGTGAATACCTCGGAATCTAAGGGAGATAGCTGAATTTTTGTTAGGACCTTTTTTGTAGCACTCAAGTTGCTCTAGAAAAAAGGTTATTACGAAAATTTCATTATCTCCTTTACATTCGGAGATATTCTTGAAAAACTCAACTAAGAGATGAGTCGACTGAAACCGTTTTACCACTTCGCTGCTGAATTCATCGTTGAGGGCTGGTAGTTGTGGATATTTCAGGTGGTGAGACGATCGTTCTTTTGTCGAGGTTTCCTTGGTTTGGCGATGGAGCAATGGACTGTCTTTTGTCGGACTCGTCTTCATTATTTTATATGTACGCGTAACCGGGACGATATGTTTCAATGCAACTCGATTTTTAGGATTTTTTTTCGGAAAAAATTGATTCCAATGATTTTGCGGTTGCAACTGACTTGAAATGATTCCATTGAGAGCCCTCGGGAGTAAATGAAGCCAAAGAAATAGTGGCAAACTTTGGGCGATGAGTCACCAGGCAAAAGAGAACGAAAAAATCTGAAGGATGGCTTGAAAAAGTCGTTCATTTCGTAGAAACTTGATGAAACGAATTGAAGACCGTCTGGAAAGGATAAATAATTGCAAAAAATGTTGAACAACGCGAGGTGGTTGATCGGCGTGGCCGCCATCTTGCTTGGATACCCCCTCCCTCTGCCGGAAGGTTTTTCAAAGATGGCGGCGCTCCACCTCGTATTTTCAAACATCTCTCAAAATGATTTATCCGCTTCAAATCACCCGCAACTCCCTTCATCTTGTTTCCATGAAATGAACAAATTTTTTAAGCCATCCTCCAGATTTTTCCATCACCTGTTGCCTCAGAATCGTGAGACGAACATTATGGGTAAAATCGTACTGCTGAAAACTGAAGAGTTTCCAATGAATTTCCAAGTGCTCCTGCACCTGACTTGTTATTCCTCGGCTTTATCACAATTTTTAACCAGTTGACTGATGAACTAACCCGTCGATATCAGTGGCACGATAAGCGCCTGACGCCAAGATGATTCGCATCAGCAACAATTGTGCAATGGCGTCGTCATGTCACTCGTAACGATTGACCTGGGGTGGTTTTTTTGTCACCGAGCTGGGCAATAGTTGGCTCGGAAGATGCATATCAGGCGGTCCAATAGTGTCTAGTCAGTTGGAGATGACTCACCGCTGATTATCGATGCGTCGCTCGATCGACGAGTAAATATAAAAATGAGATCGTTACGCAACATTGAATTTTGACATAATACGCATATGTTCGGGTAAACATCGAGGGTGAGGAGTTTATTTTGCTGTTGGTTGTTTTATTCCGCTGATGAGTCATCGCGTGTTCTCACTGGCCCCTCGCGCTCTCCTCTGTACTGTGCCCGTTTTTACCCCTTTTCGAATTACTTGGCACACGTTGATTTTGGATTTAGTGGACAAATCCGTACGGTTTTGGGCCACCTCTGCACCTGCTTCGGCAGTCAGACATCACTTGTGAAGAATTCTCATGGGATTTTTCCGTCATTCGACGTAGATTTTTTTTTAATTCATAAAATTCAGTAGCGAAGCGGTAAAACGTTTAGTTTTCAATGAATATCTCGAAATCTAGGGGAGACAGCAAAATTTTTGTCATGACCTTTTTTGTAGCTCTCGGTTCGCTCTACAAAAAAGGTTATTACGAAAATTTTGCTACCTCCCGTAGAATCGGAGATATTCCTCGAAAACTCAGTGAAGGGCTGGGTCGACTTTTAGAATTTCATTTTTCTAAATATTTTTATCATTTAGTATTCTTTTTTTTATTATTATGGTTATTTGCAACATTTTAATTATTGTCGGATCGTAAAGATGATCCATGTAATGATTATAATTTTAAAAAATTGAGTGAATGGAGAAGAAAATAATAGAGAAGTTGAACCGAGGGGAGTTTTTGATTTCCGGTGTGGCTTATCGACACTTCCGCTACATTAGGCGATCTATGGAGCATGGGAAATGAGGGGGTCCTTATCACTCCTCAAGCACAATGCACCTCATTGTTAAACTCGAACAAAACGCGATAATCATTAACTTCATCTCTCATTTTTCATTGAAAAAGAGATGAAAACGTCGGCGAGAAATTTATCTCGGGGAGAAAGGGACGGGTGCAAGTGAAAGAGATTGAATGTGTCGCAATGTAATTATCATAACTTACGGGAGGTCAAATACATTTAATTCATGCAAATTGCGTTACTGAGAGGCATGAAACTCTCAATGAAAACCGCTTCAATGTCATCCCATTCAGTTTTTCACGTTTAATTCAGTCAATTCAGGCGATTTTTTTACTAGTCAGCTTCAATTGCGGAATTTTGTGATGAATGAATTTTTCATGAGGAATTACGCTGAGAGAAAAAAGGGGGCAATTTTTTAACGACAAGAAACTCATTTTTTTTTAACACAAGACAATATTCTGAAATTTAAATATCGTTGATTTAATTGATTTAAAGTAGCTCTACTCTTCAGCCCGGCTAGACTGTACTTTTGGATATTTTCAGTTTTTTAATTTTTCAACTAATNCCTTGATTTAATTGATTTCAAGTAGCTCTACTCTTCGGCCGGGCTACGCTGTACTTTTGGATATTTTCAGTTTTTTAATTTTTCAAGTAATTTGCATGGAAAAAATTTGAAAAAATTCATACCCAGTCAGTATTATTTAAATTAAATTTCGCAAAATATTGATATTTTTTCAAACATTTCCCTTTTATAAATGAATAATAAAACTTGTTTGTAAAACGGTGGAGTATTTTTTATGAGGTGTCAAAAAAATTCTTGATTTTTTCACATCTAATGAAAAAAATTTCAGATTTCAATCTCTGATTACAATGGAAATATTGATTTCCACACATAAGACACTGGGTTAAATCCTGATGATTAAATTGCGAAAAAAATTAGAATTCCGAGACAATATTCTGGAATTGAAATATCCTTGATTTAATTGA